AAAATCCTAACATTCTTTTTCTTTTTTTTGCTTAAGCTAAATTATCATTTCACACGCCTGGAATGAATAAAGCCTTGTATCATAGCTTACAAAAAAGGCTACTTTTCTGCACTTGTTAGCTTACAATAAGGCCTTGCCTTATCTCTTCCTAGCTGTCTATCTGGGTCGGAGAACTGGACTAAGCGATTAGGAGGCGAGGTCATCGGTTGAGGGTCTGCAGTTGGTGAAAGTAAACAGTAAGTCCCCACTGTCCTCACCCCGCTCCCCCCCCCCCCGCACAGGGCAGGGTCTCTTGTTCGGATCCCAAGTCCCACTCTTATTTTCCGGTGTTCTGTTACTTCCAAGGGCATAACGGTGGCCACGCTCGCTTCTGTCGGGGTTTACTAAGCAAGTCTGAGGTTCTAACGGCTGCCACCCCACCGCTCGAACTTCCCGGAAACGCTTTTAAAGATCGACCCTGGCTACTCCTGGAAGTATTTATTCCGAGTGCTCCAACCCACAGGCCTCTCCGTGGGAGATGGTGCCGCGTGGCAAACCCCATCTCTTCCCTGCCCAAGGCACCAACCCCCAGCCGGGAACCCCAGGGCGCCCTCAGTCACCGACCTCGGGTCCGCGAAGGGACGCTCCGGTCCGGGTCGGGGCACAGCAGGCGACGTAACGAACCGGACCCGCCGTGCGGAGTCCCCCAAGTCCCCGCCCGCCGCTGCGGCCGGCTCCGGCGGGGCGAACGAGCGGGCCCGAGGCCCCGCGCAGCCCGCGAGCGAGCGCCCAGCACCTCTCCCTGAGGCCGCCGCCGCGTTCAGCTTCGCCGTGGTAGACGCCAGAGCAGGGTGCGGAAGAGTGGGGGCCGTTCTGGGAGCCGCACCCGCACCGGGACTCGGCCCCACCGCACCTGCCGCAGCTTCTCGGCTGCTACCGCCGCTCGGCTTCCAAGATGGCCGCTCGGGGGGGGGGGTGGCCGGGGCGCCCCTTCCGCTTCCGGTGCGCGTTTGCGAGGGGAAGCGCTTCTCTAGGCAGCTCGGTGAAGGGCTCTACTGTCCGTCCCCGGGTGTCCCGCGTCTCCTCTCTGTCTGGGAGTAAGTACGTCCCGCCGCTGCGCAAAGGGTTGCTGGCGCGTGCGCACTGGGAAATAGCTGGGACGGGGCGGGGCGAGGGGTGGGGGGCAGGGCGAGGGGTGGGGGCGGGGCCGAGGCGGGGACGGACGTGGCTCCTTTCTGTCTCAGAGACTTGGGCTGGTTGCCTGTCTCGTCCAGGACGCTCCCTGGACAGGATACTGGCTGGCTGGCACCCCAGGAACAATAAGTGGCTGCAGGAATCCCCGCAGTGCTCCCGTCCCCAAATCTCGGGCCAGTCCGGGACGGGGACCTGTGAGTTCACCACGATCTGAGACTGCCATCGGTCACCTTCTGCGTGAGGATCCACTAGTCTGCTCTTAACGCCAGGGTTCCGGGCTTAAAGGTCATCCCGCTTGCTCTCGCTACCCCTCTAGCCCTGAAGATCCCTGTGTACAGCGCAACTCATGGTCACAGGCAGAGCCAACCCCGCGACAGCCTCCTAGCCCTGAGGACAGCCGTCCTCGTAAAAAATAGTTCCTGTGTTTTTGTACCAAGCTTTCCATCCAGCTCATGAATACCGTCATTATGCTCAAGGACATTTCTCTAAGACATGTTTTCCTCTCCCACGGTCTCCTTCCTGGCCCAGGGGAGGGGAGGTGTCACAGCTTGGTCACTTAGCCAGATTATCTGGCTGGGGCTGAGGCATGAGACTGCCAGTGAGGATGTTCTGGATACGAGTTCGGATCCTGGCAGCTGGAGAAGCTAGGTAGAGAGGCTGATAGATGTCCAGACTTCCTAGTCCCTCATGCTCACCTTCCTGCCTCACCATTGCATTCCTGGGATGCTCAAGTTTGTTCCTAGGTTGGTGACATATTTGTCACGCACATACCATGTTCTTGACCCAGCACCTTCCCATTCCATTTGCTTGTGAACCCAGTGTGTGTAGGTTCCAGGAAACCAAGCTGGATATGGCAAGTGTTGGGACTCCACCTTGCAGGGCAAGTAAGGGCTGGGATCTGGAGAAAAGGACCCAGATGGTCTCACATCCTCTTTGGTCACTTGAGAAGCAGCTGAAGACTGGACTAAGTGTCCAGTCCTTGGGGTGTCCTCAAGCTGTTCCAGGGATGCAAGTTTGGGCTGCGAAGAAGCAGCAGTCATTGGCATTGCCTGGCCAACCAGATATGTAGGGCAGAACTGCTGTTCAACTTTAAGGTCTTGTCCTTCACCGTGACCCTAACTGCTCCTAGGCATCCGCAGTGGGCTCACTGATTATTGACAATGGGTGGCTGAGATTCAGCACCATGAGTCCAGTAGTGGCCATTGATTCACAGGTCAGGTGGTAGATGAGCCCACCCACCTGAGTTGTGATCTGGGCTGCTGCAGCTCTGGGGAGTTATCTTTGGGAGATCCGTGGCTTCTCCCACTGTCAGACTCAGAAAGCACATCAGCACAGACTGCCTCTTCCTTCCCCAAGGTTCTGTGGTCCCTAATCAAGGTAATTTAAGCCACTTTTGTTGTTTTGTAGACAAGCCTGTCATGCATTTTCTTAATTTGTGAGTGATGTGGGAGGGCCTAGGCCATTGTGGGTGGGGTCACCCCTGGGCTGGTGGTCCTCGGTTCTATAAGAAAGATGCTGGGCAGAGTGATGATTGCCTTTAATCCCAGCACTTGGGAGGCAGAGGCGCAGGTAGATCTGAGTTCCAGGCCAGCCTACAGAGTGAGGTCCAAGACAGCCAGTGTTACACAGAGAAACCTTATCTGAACAAAGAAAGAGAAAGCTGAGTAAGCCGTAAGGAGCAAAGCAGTAAGCAGAATCCTCTGTGGCCTCTGCATCAGCTCCTGCCTCCAGGTTCCTGTCCAGTTTGAGTTCCTGCCCTGACTTCCTTCAGTGATGAACAGTGATGTGGAAGTGTATACCAAATAAATCCTCTAGTTGTGGTTTGAATAGCAATGACCCCATAGGTTCATATATTTGAATGATTGGTCACTAGGGAGTGGCACTATTAGGAGGTGTGTCCTTGTTGGGGTAGATGTGACTTAGTTGGAAAAAGTATGTCACTGGGGGTGGACTTTGGGTTTTCAAATGTTCAAGCCAGACCCAGTGTCTTTCTGTCTGTCTCTCTGTTTCTGTCTCTGTCTCTGTCTCTCTCTCTTCCTGCTGCCTGCCAATCCAGATGTAGAATTCTTGGCTCCTTCTCCAGCACCAAGTCTGCCTGCATACCGCCATTACTGTGGTCATGGTGTCTCATCACAGCAATAAAAACTCTAACTAGGACACCTTTCCTCACCAAATTGCTTTTTTTCCTGGTGTTTCATTACAGTCATAGTAACCCTAAAATAATTCGAATGCAAACAACAGCCGGAGTTTGGGCCATAGCCATTCTCCGACCCGCTTGTTCTTGTTGGAAGCACTAACATACCTACCAGGGTAGCGTGACTACCTAGTGCTCTCAATCACCCGAGTCATCTCTCCAACCCCTTTCGGTATCTCTCAAAAAGTAGTTAGTGAATAGTGACCACAGGGGCCTCTTGTTGATCAATAAGAGGGGACATTCTTATGCTACCCTAGCCTGCCTCCCCTTCACAGGACCAGGAGCACCTAGGGAAGCGAGTGTGGGACAGGCCAAGAAGAAGGAAAGACACATACTCTGAGGCCCAGATCAAGTGTAAAACATGAAGCTGAACTTCATGGTGCCAGAACATTAGCTGTTCCTTCAGGCTTTCCCAGGTAGGCGTGGAAAGGGGCTGAATTAGAGGCCAGTCAGTGTTCCTTCATTCTTCTCCCCCTCCCTCCCTCCCTCCCTCCCTCCCTCCCTCCCTCCCTCTCTCCCTCTCTCCCTCCCTCTCTCCCTCCTTCCCTCCCTCCTTTCCTGTCTGTCTATCTATCTATCTATCTATCTATCTATCTATCTATCTGCCTTCCTTTCTTTCTTTTTCCAGCCCCAGAAATACTGGGAGATATGAGTTACTCTAGTTCAGACAACTTAACCCAGGCTCTTCTCCTGCTACTGAATGTCCATTCCCACTCCTCCCAAGGAACACTGCTTAGGTGTGGGATGTCACTGCCCACAGTACTATCTGCCTGGTCTGTTCCTGCCAGAACCTAATTAAGTCAGTATCCTGGGGGATGCCACTCCTGGGTGCCCTGGGGGTGCTCTGCTGGCAGCTTGTGCTTCTATTAAAGCAGTATTGGAGCTACCCAGTCACCATGGGAGTGCCCATGCACTCTGAGTGCTAACTCTCCCCATCTGTCACTCTATGCGACATGAACCCACACTGGTGGAGGTCTGGGTATTGTCAGTCTTGGGTATGGGCTCCCTAACATTTATTTCAGCCTGGGATGTCTTCCTGGGTTTGGTCTCAGATGATACCTCATGATGTAATTTCTCCTAATCCCTGTACCTAGTCAGGACTTCTCAGATCTCTCAGTGTCACTGCTAAAGGAACAACCAGACACTACTAGGAGCCCAGGCTTATGAGGTAAAAGGGAACTTTATAGGTCAGTCGTAAGCTCGGTTGTAGGGCACCTCAGGAAGAAGGGCCAAGTAGAATTCCAGGTAAGGAGTGGCTATGAGCCTGTCATGAGGACATGTGACCCTAGAAACTGCCAGACTGGGGACTTGACCTCAACTCTGAAGTTATGAGAGTCAATGGGTCCAGCTTCTAAAAAAATTCTCTCTTGGGGCTGGAGAGATGGCTCAGTGGTTAAGAGCACTGTCTGCTCTTCCAGAGATCCTGAGTTCAATTCCCAGCAACCACATGGTGGCTCCAAACCATCTGTAAAGAGATCTGGCGCCCTCTGGCGTGTGGAGGCAGAAAGTTGTATACATAATAAATAAATCTTTAAAAAAAAAATTCTCTCTTTTTAGAAGGGGAACAGACTTCTGTCTTCATTGGACACACAGGGACACTGAAGTCACAGAGTGCTGGATTACCCTGATCCATGTCATGGGGAACCCTACAATGATCTACCCTGCCTCCAGAACAAATGCCATGCCCCAACATCTGAAAGTACGTGATGCATTTGCCTGGGAGAACATCGATGCTCTCACAAATTCAACCTCAGTGAGGGCTGGGAGTCAAGGAGGTGAGGGTGCTGGCATGCTGCTGTGCTTCAGCAGGCTTTTCTAGCAAGGAGAAACAGTGGGCCGTGTCTGACCTAACCCTGTGTACCCTCGGTGTGATAGTATCAGTGACGACTGCGTCTACTGTGCCTGTTCCTCAGGTATACCGGCTGCTCAGGAATGGTATCATTTCTACTACACGGACATCTCGGTCCTATTCCCCTCTGCCTGGGAGTGACCTGGTGACCACTTTGTCTTGTCCTGTCACTGTGACAGTGAGGATGGCTGCGATGGGTAAGCAGGGAATGATTGGTAGGCTGCCCCCCTCTATCCCATCAGCAGAGTGGCCTTATCCTGGGGTCAGGAGTTAGCTGTCCAAGGCTGGCTACAGACAACTCATTGCACAACAGACAGGCCATGGCCCCTCAGGGCACACATGCCAGGGTAGAAAGTCCCACCACCAGACCTGTGGTAACTGCTGTACCACAGGTACAGGGTGCTGGGCTGCAGGGCCCTTGCCACCATAAATGGTGAGTGCTAATCCCCAGCAGACATCTGGACGTAAATATAGAGTTGGGCAGGTGTCCTCAACATCTCTTTCTTGGCTTCCCCAGGGATTAGCCTAGTCCTCGGGGATAAAAGGCAAGATCATCTCCTTCTTGGAAGGATTTCAGACCTTGGAGACTGGAATCAAGGACATGGTTCACAACTACACGCACCCTTCTAGAATGCAGTGGCTTCGGTTTCTGACCAGGGACACAGAATACCATTGGAATTTGAGAGGTAAGCAAGGTTATTGGGCTTCCTGTGCAACCCAGGCACTGGGGTAAGGCAGGGCCTCAAGATGCAGTGAGCAGAATTGAAGCCCCTTTTCCCCAAGACAAGGTGCCTTGGCTTGGAAGTCCCTTTGTCCTCTGCATGGATGCTGCTAAGGGCATAGATACTGAACTGCTGTATAACACCCCAGACCTCATGCAGGTGAATGGGTGGCAAAGAGAGTCCCTGAACCGTGTGTGGGTAGGGCCCACAGCTTAAGGCCTTGCTGTCTCTTCAGGCATGCCTGGTGGCCTGCTTCAGCAGCTTGTGATGGAGATCTGCTCCAGCTAGAGCCCAGCTCTGCAGCCACAAATGACACCCAGCCTGGGGTGAGCCTGTCATCTCTTATGGGATTGCTGGAGGTCTCTGAGGCAGTGACTCCTAATGGGCCCTCTCTTAACAACCCCTCAGGTCACTGCTCCTACCCAGCCTACCAGGACCTGGAAACCCAACCCACTAGTTTTCTTGTATTTCCCACTGCCCTGGGCCTTGCAGGCCGGAGAGGATGATGGGATTGGGCGTTAGGCATTAGTTCGCCAAAGCCCTACAGGATGGCCACTGGTCCCCTCCCTTTCCAGTCCTAAGAGAAGTCAGGGTGCCCTGCCCTGTGGTGTCTTTGTACAGATTCTTTGCAGGAACCTCCAGGTAACCTTCAGCCAAGTCCACTGTGAGTCTCACGGAGCATGTGGGGCTGGTGCTGAAGCAGGGAGCGTGTAGCTCTGCAAGTCCCTGTGCTGTGCTGTGCTGTGCTGTGCTCAGAGAGTAAGAGACCCATGGAGCTAAGGCTAGAGCAAGAGCCGGAGGTGGGTGCACCCCCCAGGGACACATCCTGCCTCTCTTCTGCCAACCTCCTTATACCTCTGCTACCCTTGAAGCAGTGTGGCCAAGGTGAACATTCTCTATCAGGAGCTTAAATACCATATTGTGGATGAAGCAACAGTATACTCTGAATGGTTAGAGAGACACAGGACGAGGGCTGGGTAGAGGCAGTCCGCTCCACATTCCTGTGTATAGGTGGGATACAGGAGGTCCTGCTGGACTTACTGCCCATCTGCCCATAGGTTCCACAGCCGTTGTGCCATGGGCAGCCTCTGGAGACTGTGGTTCAGCGTATCTGTCTTGTCCCTGCTGGAGCTGCTACTGGATGTCACTGCCCTTGCCCGGCTGCTACTGGGTTTTCATTGGCTCTGCTGGGGGAACCTGTCCTAGCTGGGAGTCAATACTGCTTCAGGCAGTCCCACACCATATCAGAGGCCAGCCAGAGACCTCCACCCCAAGCTTCAGGGGATGATGCCAGAGGCCCAGAAGGACATAACCCCACAGAGATGCTCTCAGGGTCTTTGGGGGAAGTTTCAGTGTAAGAATTTGGCTAAATTCCAGGCCCTTGAGATTTTGTTTGTTTTTCGAGAGACGATTTCTCTCTAGCCCTGGCTATCCTGATACTTGCTCCTCCGTATAGACCAAGCTGGCCTCGAACCCTAGATCCACCTGCCTCTGCCTCCCAAGTGCTAGGATTAAAGGAGTGTGCCACCGCTGCCTGTTTGATTTTTGAGACAGAGTTTCTCTGTGTAGTCCTGGAATGAGATATGTAGACCAGACTGGCCTCAAACTCCGAGATTCCCCTACCTCTGCCCCCCAAGTTCTGGGATTAAAGGCATGCACCACCATCCCTGGCACTATCTTGAGATCTTGACAACTGAAGTAACCCCAACAGAGCTATCTGATCCCTCGGTCTAATGTTGGGAGCTGTAGTAGCAGTGAGCTCCCTAGTTGCCCAGAGTGTACCAGACTAGCCATTTGAGGATCCAGAAAGCAGTACCATCTGACCCATGCAGAAACCAAGTATATCCAACACACCAGGGACTCTCTACCCACCTATCCCACCAGACAGTGGCCTATTGGGTTGAAGGGGATCCCAAGACATGGCTGAGTAGTATCCCCTCTCTAGACTCCTGGACTCTGGATATGGGCATGAGTGTAGAGGTACTTCTACACAGTGCAATCTATTTGGTTGTCACATTTGTCTGTGCGTGTTTCTGACACATGTCTATATACATACATATATACACACATACATACACATGTGTATATGAATGTGTGTGTATATATGTATATACGCATATCAGACAGAGCCTGTACTGGTTTTAAGGTAGCCTATAGGTAAGCAGGAATAAAGGTAAATCCAAACCAAGACACCCACTGACCTTGGACTGCTCTACAGTAATGTCAGCCGTTCCCTCTACTGTCTTATGCATAGATGTGTCTCCCCAGTCACCTACGTCAGAGTGAGCTGCAAACCTCAGAGTCTAACTCAATGCCGCCTTGAAACGGAGCACAGCAAACACACTGCAGTGAGGGACACTGGGGGCAGATCGGGGACACAGTCTAATTCAGAGAAGGACAGAGAGGAGAGGCCAGGGAACAGGGGCTAAGGATGTCAGGTGTCAGTTTTTCCCAAAGCACCAGGCCCCTGGTGGCTGGGTTATATCCTCTTGGGAAGGGGCAACGTTGGGACTCCGCTTCAGGCTGCTCCCAGACAAACCTTCAGCTGAGAAAGAGCCAAGCAAGGCTTGATACAGCAATGAGCAGGCAGTGGATGCAAGCGGCAGAGGTTTATTAAGTGAGAGTGATCAGAGCAGGAAGGAAGTGGGATCCTGCCAGCCCGGAGGTGGCAGGGTAGGTGGTGGGCAGAGCTCAAGCAGGAGGAAGAAGCCGATTCTGCTCTTTAGGGCCGCAGCCATCAAGCAAGGGAGTCAGAGGCCCTGATCCAGTGCCTACCTTACTGCCCATGGATGCTCCCAGGGCAGTATTTGCATAGTGACCTAGCCAAGGGCTCCATAGTATGCAGAAGGGCCCAGCCTCTATCCTGGAACTCCTCCAGAGAAAAGGAAATTGAAGGCATTGGTGGGCCCCCCAAAGAAGGGACCACTGGACTTATCAGAGGCCCAGCCCAAGGACTGAAGCTTGGGGGCGGGGCAGGGGACATCTATGTGGGACTCTCCAGCCGCAGGAAGAGCTGGGATCAGGATGGTCCTTGAGAGTCCACAGAAAAAAAGACGCAGACAAAGTCAGAATGAGGTCGCTGTAGAAAATCCTCTCAGTCAGTAACAAAGGACATTGGGCACACGGTGGAAAGTGCCAGTTGCTTTAGTTAGGCGTGGGCTCTGGCCCAGGTAAACCAGACAGTGCCTCTGGAGAAGGCAGGGATGGAGTTAGGCCCTCAGGCACCAGGACCCAAGTGGCCAGCCACGTGGCCTTGGGACGCCTGCGTCCAGCCTGGGTGGAAGGCCTGGGCCAAAGTTCCACCTCCCAGCACCGTCAAAGCCCGACCTGGATGCTGGGGTCACTGAGCGAGGTACTCAGGTTGATTCCCTGGGTGGGCTGCCAACTCCTGCCAGGGAAGGTGCTGGTGGCCAGCCACCAGCCCCAGGCTGGAGGGAGGGCTCTGGGGGTATATAGGAAGGACCTAGCTAGCAGGTCAGTGTTCTGGGGCAGTAAACATAGGGGCACAAGGTGAACTAGGCCCTGAGGGCAGAGGGGTATAAGGTGACGTGGACCTCAAGAGTGGTTTGTCCCATGGACAGCCCAGACCCCTGAAGAAAGGACCACCTGAAGACAGAGGTTCCCCAGGTGAGATGAGGGGCAACAGATGATGCAGCACCCCATCCCCCAAAAGTGGGGCTTCAAAAAATTCAGTGCTTGGGTCCCTGTCCTCTGGCTGAGCATTAAAGTTGCCAGAAGGAGGGACGAGCAGGAAAGTGGGGACTCCAGAAATGCCAAGGTACTGGGCTGTAGGGATGGGCCCACAGTTGTCACAGGCAGGGCTGTGGCTAGATGAGGGGCTAGGGTCTTCAGGGACATGCAGGACTTCTGGGCCGGGTAGGCTGGGGTCAAAGTAGGGGTCCCTCAGCTGCCCGGCCTGCCAGGCCCTAGCTTTCCTCCAAGTGGAGGCCAATGAACTCCTGGATGCACCTGCGGTACTGCAGCTCGGTAGGACTGCTTCCTGGCAGGGGGCCTGGCTGGCCAGGGGCCGCCTCAGCTTCTCTCATCTCCTCAGCCATGCGGGCCAGGCGGAGTCTGGGGGTGGGGAACAGTGTGAGGTGACTCTGTCCCCACGTAGTCGGTGTCCCTTTGACAGTGACTACATCCCCAGGACCCTGCCCGACTCACAGTGTGACAATGTCAGCGTTCGCCGCTTGAATTGCGATGGTCAGCGGATCCTGCTGCTCCTGGTCCAGGGCATGCTGGTCAGCCCCCCGCTTCAGGAATAGACAGACCTGGCTGAGGGTAGAGGAGCTTATTGAGAAGGCCCCAAGGCGAGGGGATACTGGTAGCACGAGAGAGACCCATGGAACTCACCCAGTGCGGCCCAAGAGTGTAGCATGGTGCAAGGGTGCCCGACCAAGGCTGTCTCTTTGGTTCACATCAGCCCCGTTTTGCAGAAGGAACTCGCAGACAATCAAGGAACCCTAGGGATCCAGGGAAATCACACTGACCTCCTGCCATGAGCACCCCCAAAACAGGACCAAGCCTGTCTCTAGAACAACAGAATGCACGTGTAGGCATGCAGTCTTGTGTGCAGACGCCCGCCTGTGCTCACCCCTAACACAGCTTGTACCAGTGGCGTCTTGCCCTCATCTGCTGCATCAGCCCAGTTGACTTCAGCTCCGTGGGCCAGTGCTGCAGCCAGTGCAGGGAGATCGCGAGTCCGTGCTGCTTGGTGTGCCAGTAGCCCAGGGTGCAGTTCACGCACATCTGCCAGGCTCCAGGCCTCCGAGTCTCCATCTGCCTCACTGTTGGACTCCTCAGACTCAGCACCCTCTGCGGGAGGGCACAGGATAGGGAGCTGAGACTCTCAAAGGTGCTAGGATGATGGGCTATATGGAGACAGGGAGACACACACCTACCTTCCTCGGTGACACTGTCCACCACAGAACCTGTGCCGAAGGCCAGGACATCTGAACTGCCATCAGAGCTGCCTCCAAGACCACTGTCACTGCTTAGACCTGCAGGACCACAGGAAGGGAATCTTTAGCACTGGGGCGGTCCCAGAACACGGGAAGAAAGCTGGAGCCCGACCCGCCCTTCAGTGGATTCTCCCCTTCAGGAGCAGGACTAGCCCTTACTAGGGAACACCAGGGGATATTGCCCAGGCTGAAAGGAAAGGAAACCAAACAATAGCTCAGAGGGACAGGGGGAGCCCTCTATGTCCAGTACAACCCCGAGTGCCCCCTCCCAACCCTCTAGGCTTTAAGGTCTTCACCCTGAAGTCACAGATCGGGCAGCAAAGGAAGGAGCCCGAGAGCCTGGCTTACAGCCAGTACTACA